GGTGCACCTGGTGGGACGTGGGTGGCGTTGTGGGTTAAACCACAGATCCTAGGACTTGCCGATCAGAAGGTCGGCAGTTTGAATCCCCACGATGGGGTGAGCTCCCATCGCTCGGTCCCTGCTCCTGCCAACCTAGCAGTTCGAAAGCACGTCAAAGTGCAAGTAGATAAATAGGTACCACTCCAGCGGGAAGGTAAACGGCGTTTCCGTGCACTGCTCTGGTTCGCCAGAAGCGGCTTAGTCATGCTGGCCACTTGACCCGGAAGCTGTACGCCGGCTCCCTCGGCCAATAAAGCGAGATGAGTGCTGCAACCCCAGAGTCGGCCACGACTGGACCTAATGGTCAGGGGTCCCTTTACCTTTAAGGTGCACCTGCAAACAAATCAGGATGCATGCTCCAGAAATAGGTCACCTGCAGGAGCCTGTAGATGCATTTTTACAAATCTAACCCTGTTGGCATTGTGCACCCCCTGCCCTCTTTCTGGCCAGCACTGTTTTGGATGCAATTCAGTACAGTATGTCTTTAACATGCGGCAACTGTACAAAGTGGGGCAGGATGTGGATGAGTGCCTTCTGGGGTCTTATAGGGGTCTTTGGAAAGGTGACCCCTTCCCATGGCACCATAGCATTAGACTTGCTTTTGCAGTGGCAGCATACAAGCATCGTTTCATCCCCCCCCCCCTCATATCTTCTTTGCTTCCCTCCACTCTGTTCCTTTTGGTTATATCCATAGCTGTCAAGCGTCCCTTATTTGGCGGGATAGTCCCTTATCACAGCGCCATGTCCCGCTGCTGTCCCTTATTGATGAGGCTTCGTTTGGCTGCTGGCTGGGCTTTCTGCCTTTGGCTCGGAGGGGCTCAGAAGTTGAATATACCTGTGCCTGGAAAATCCCTTATTTTGGCTGCTGATCCCTTATTTTCGAGGCTGCTGGTCCCTTATTTTCAAATCTGTAATTGACAGCTATGGTTATATCCCCCCCATAGAGGCAGGAACACTGTTTCCTCTTCCTGTTCAAAAGCCAGCACAAAATCCTCCCAGGAATCTTCATGAAAACTCCCCCTTCTGGAGCCAAGCTGCTGATGGAATAAGCATTGAAAGTCCAAGAGAGAGAGAGAGAGAGAGGCCGTGGGGAGTTTGCTTATTGCCAGCTTTGTCTCTGGTGGTTTATTCACAGGGGAGAATCCAGTGGGTAATTAATTTTGCTTCTTGCGTGAAAACAAAGTACAGTAGTTCAAATGTAAGCTTTTTTTTTCACTTTTCCCATTACTCTTCCTAAGTTTAACCACAAAAACAGAGGAAGGAGTTGGGTGACTTGCTTATTTTATTATTATTATTTATTATTTGTTATCATTTGTAGATACTGCTCAGCTTTGGAATCTGGGCTGCATTATTAAATTTTTTGTATCTTTATTTTTAGATCCTATTGTGATTTATGTGGCAATTGTTCCATTTGGCTGTGTACTTTTTTATGTGTTTCATCTATTGTTTGTGACTACTTTTGTTATATTTGTAATTATGGGTTTTTCCCCATGTTGTAAGCATGGAGCGTTTTGTTAACTATGCAAAGGTGGCCTACAAATAAAATGATATATGTATGGATGTAACCAGCTGCCTGCTTTTAGGACCTGGGCAGGGGCGCTGCTGAGTAAGTTTGAAAAGGTTAAAATCTGCATATATCAATTTCTATGGATAGATGCAAAATTTAGAATTTAAGTGTCAAAAGCCACAAGCCTACTAATTTCTCATCCAGATCATCCCAGATAAATTCTTCAGTTAATTTGCACGACCCCCGAATCACTCCAAATCGGTTCCTCTTTGATTCATTAACCCCTAATTAATTTCCCAGTGGATCCCATTCTAAATCAATTAAATCCCCCTTCAATTACTGCCCGTTCATTAACACACACATCCCAGGTCTAAAGAAAATCTTAACATTAAATTCTTCTCCAAAACTGAAATGCTACCCAGTGGCATAGATATCCCCAATGCAATTTGATTTCTGCCAAATCCATTAGCCACCCAGAAAGACCTGGGGGGCACTTTCGGAAATGTAGGTGTGGGGATGGGCAGAGATAACCCTGGATCAGTACAGTGGTACCTCGGTTAAGTACTTAATTCGTTCCGGAGGTCCGTACTTAACCTGAAACTGTTCTTAACCTGAAGCACCACTTTAGCTAATGGGGCCTCCTGCTGCTGCCGTGCCACCGGAGCACGATTTCTGTTCTCATCCTGAAGCAAAGTTCTTAACCTGAAGCACTATTTCTGGGTTAGTGGAGTCTGTAACCTGAAGCGTATGTAACCCGAGGTACCACTGTAGTAGCATGCAGTGGAGCATTGCTAGGTTATAGGGCTGTGTTTTCTCGGCAGGGTTAAGGTCCTCCAACTCAAAGTGTCCACCTGCCCCTTAGCTGCTCCACAAAATTCCTCACCCAGCTAAGGCCCTTTGCCTTACGACCTGGTCAGTCAGCAGTACATCCCACCAGGAAGTCTGTTTAGGCAAGGAAGACATGCCTGCAGCATTGGGAACGAGTAGAGAGGTGAAGAGAAAATGCAGTTTGAGGAAGCTGCGTGGCTTTGCATTCTCAGCCTGTCCTTGGTGCCTCTCTCTGGGCCTCCGCTCTCTCCTGAAGGGAAGGGAAGCTCTGGGCAGCACTGCTGCACTGAGAACATTTGCATTGAAAAGCCAGCGTTTCCCCCCTCTTTCATCCTCTGCTTTTATCCTCTCTCTCTCTCCCGGTTAACCTTGGAAGGAGGATCTGCTCCCATCCTCCCCAGATCCCTCTTGTCACCAGCCAGACTGCAGGCAGCTGGCGGCAGGGGGGAAAAGGCATCATTATACAATGCAGAACACATACGAGGAGGAGGAAGATTTTCCACATTGCAGGGTTTTGTTTTGTTTTTGCCAGGGACACTTTGAGATGCTAAAGCAAGCTGAGAAGTTTATCAAGTCTTTTTAATGAAGAAGGTGAGACCTATGCACTCAACTGCGATTAAGGCAGCTTCTCAAATTTGGGGAAATACTAAATTACTGTCAGAGGCTGTCAGAGGTGAACGCACAAACTTTTAAGGTAGGAAAGTCTGAGGTGCGAGGTTTGAGGAAAATACAAGGGAGAGGAAGATTGGTCTATAACAGGCTTCCTTGACCTCGGCCCTCCAGATGTTTCGAGACTACATTTCCCATCATCCCTGACCACTGGTCCTGCTAGCTAGGGATCATGGGAGTTGTAGGCCATAAACATCTGGAAGGCCAAGGTTGAGGAAACCTGGTCTATAACAAAAATGATATCTCATGTGAACTGGTATGGGAGGCCTATGACTTGGCCGAAAGATAAAAAATGATACCCTGTGTGAATTGATCTGGGAAACTTTGATGGAGATGAAACAGGAAGGGCGAGTAAAGGGTGTGAGAGGCTACCATATGTGGTGGCAATGTAAAATTATTAAGAAAGCCTGGGAGGTGATATATAAAGATTTGAAGAAAATGTTGAAAATGACTTTGGTTGATAAAATTGAAGCAATGATCCCGGAAGGTACAGAACTTAATGGATTTACTATGCATTGATATCTTAAGGATGTAAAATGAGAATCTGAAATTGTAAAACAGAACTACACATACACACACACATATACATATACATATATACAGGGACACATCTTCTGGGGCCGAGCTCACATGTGCTTTTGGGTGCCGTGCTCTCTTGTGAGATTGCGGCCCTGAAAAAAAGTGTGACTTTCAGGGCTGTGCTTTTGCAAGTTTTGGGGCACTGTGCTCTCACATGAGAGCACAGGGCCCCCCCCTCCGGGATGTCCCATTTTAATCAGGACATTGGAGGGGTATGTCCCTGCCTTCCCCTCCACCAGTCTCAAAGAGCACCACTTGCCAGCGCTCCAAGGTCTCAGAGTGAGGTTCTCTCTCAGCACTGCTACCGGGTGGTATTGAACCAGCCTTGCCAGGGATCAATTCTGGAGACTTCTGCATGTCAAGCAGGTGTCCTGCCACCAACCTGTGCATCTTAACAACTAAGGATTCCAGTCCCCTGGGAACCTCCCCACCCTAAAATAAAATGGCTGCTTACAGGGAGAGTCAGAACGCATGCGTTCTTTGCAACAGGTTTATTTGTACACAATTAAAAAATTCCGAGTCGCCATTCCAGAAACTGGTTAGGAAGAGGAGATGAATCCAGCGGGGATTATTTCATCAGTGAACCACATCCCTGAGAAAACAAGGGTTGCTTAAGACCTGCTGAAATCAATAGAAAAGGTTATCCATCGGCGTATGAAGGAAACCTTAGCTAATTAGACAACTTAACATGAATGCATTCATCAGTCATATAAATCTGCATACAAATGAATTAGTCATTTTGAATAAATAAGAGATTTCCGATGGTGCTTGTGTAGCAGGGATGGGGAATCTGGGTAAACCTGTGTCCTGATATACAGAGGACAGCCTTTTATGTGGAGACATCCTCTGTTTCAGGAGTGGGGAACCTGTAGCCCCCAAGATGTTGCTGGACTACAGCCGCCATCAACCCTAGCAAGCCTGGTCTATGGTGGGTGATGCTGGGAGTTGTAGTTCAGCAACCTCTGGGAGGCCACAGGTCCCCCCTACCTGCTCTGTTTGAAGGGCTCTCTGGTCCAAGTTGGGTTTAAAAGACAAAGTTGGGAAATAGATGAGGCAGGGGCCCATCAATAGTTGTACTGAACAACAGGTCACCTCGTTGCAATCTCTTTCATCATAGTGGGGAAGACTGTATCTGTTATGTACTGAAGTTCTCACCCTGGGCCAGCAGGGGGATACTGTAGTTAGTTATGCAAATAAGGGATTGAAAGTGACGTTCAGTGATTGGATAGTTTTAGAAAATTGTTACAGTTACATTGTACTGGAGCTCTATATAAGCAGGCTGACTGAGCCCTTCAGTTCAGTTCTATCCTGGCCTGTGAATAAACAAGAGCTGTTTGAAGAATTGCTCTAGGTGTGAAGGGTGCCTGAAACTTACATAAAAGTCAGGTGTTGCAGCACGTAGAGCAGCCCCTCCACAGCAGTTGGGTTTTTTTATCCTGAGGAAGCTGTGGAAGAGAAGAAATTGGGTGGTAGCCTTCGGGTTCTCACCAGTACAACTACTGGGGACCCCCTGTGGTGAATACCAGGGCCCCATCTACACCACAAGCTCATATCGGCTTTGTATCACTTTCCCCCCAAAGGATGCTAGGAAAGCATACTTTGCTGAGGAGACTCTTCCGAGAGAGATTCCTATTGCCCTCCTAGAACTTCAGTTCCCAGGATTCCTTGGAAAGCCTGTGTTAAGAACATCTGGAGCTAGCCCAAGATATTTGGCAGCCTGAGGTTAAAAAAAAAGGACAAGATGGCAGCCCTTGGACTCCATGCTACAAAGCCAACTAGACTGATTAGCTGAATTTTACTTCAGCACTGGTCAATATTTTTTACCTCACCTTGAGGAAACAAGGCTGTCTTATGGGGCACAGCGCAGGCCACATACCAGAGACAGCTGTTCCCTATCCTTATCCCCCACCTGAGGGAGGTGCTTGACTGTGTCTAATGGTAAGGCCAGAAACTGAGAATATCCTAAGTAAAGGTAAAGGTAAAGGACCCCTGGATGGTTAAGTCAAGTCAAAGGTGACTATGGGGTTGTGGCGCTCATTTCATTTCAGGCCGAGGGAGCTGGCGTTTATCCACAGACAGCTTTCCAAGTCATGTGGGCAGCATGACTAAACCGCTTCTGGCGCAACAGAACACCCTGACAGAAGCCAGAGCGCACAGAAACGCCGTTTACCTTCCCGTCACAGCGGTACCTATTTATCTACCTACACTGGCATGCTTTCAAACTGCTAGGTTGGCAGGAGTTGGGGCAGAGCAACAGGAGCTCACCCCATCGCGGCGATTCAAACCGCCAACTTTCCAATCAGCAAGCCCAAGAGGCTCAGTGGTTCAGACCACAGCGCCACCTGCATTTTACCTCTAATATCCTAAGTACCCTGGCAGGATCAGAGCAAAGTTCCATCTAACCCAGCATCCTGCTTCCCACACCAGCCAATCAGATGCCATCATCCCCTCCAAAATTTCTCCAATGAAAATAGGGACATCCTAAGGAAAAGCGAGACATTCTGGGATGAAATCAGAAACCGAAACGGCTTCTGTAAATCCAGGAGTGTCCCTCGAAAATAGGGACACTCGGAGGTTGTGTACTCACCGCAGGGGACGTAGCAATCGCACTCACAAAAGTCACAGCGAGAGAACCATCGGGTCCAGCCAGATTGCTTAGTGACGCAGGAGGAGATCTTGATGCAGCCATGATTGAGAAAGGCCCCTGGGTACACCTTATGGGGACAAGTGGAAGAGCAGTTACCATCGATGTCCCGCTCGTTTATCTCAATCCGACCCCGGAGGCAGATCCCTTCGCAGAAAGACAGAAAGCAATAAAAGCAGGCATGACACCAGAATGACTCGTTCAAGAATATGCAGAAACGGCGAAACTTACTGGAAAAATAAGAAATCAAGATAACAAACTTTTTTAATGGTTTATTGAATATTTACAAATAAACTGTAAACAGATAAGGACATTGGCAGGATTATTGTAATAACCTCCAGTATATATTTACAGTGTATATCTATAGTAGATAATTAAATGAGCAAGTTAAATGAATTTGGATATGCAGAAGATATTTAAAATAAATTTAAGGAACAGCAAAAAGAGGGGGAAGGAAGTCAAATTTTGAAATGTTATATTGATTGTAAAACTAATTGAATGTATTAACATGAAAAGTATAAATAAAAACTTTTTTTAAAAAGAGAAAGATTGGCAATGGTGCCTACCTGAGAGGCGCCGGAACTGAGTTGCAGCAAGTTCCCACTGGAAAAAAAAGCTCTGGATATACGCATGGAAGGCACACAGTTATACTTACTGAGGCAAGTAGGTTTGGGGGTCCAGCGGCCACTCGATTGGCAGGCGCTAGCAGGATCCCCCACCAGCAGGTACCCAGGCCGGCAGCTGTAGCGCACCACCGACCCGACCCACCAGTCGTTCCCATAGACCACCGAATTGAACTCTGTTTCTGGTCGTCCACAGTTTACTGAGAAAGAAAAAAGACACACACAGGGACCCTCCAGGTGGCTGCTTTGTGGCAACTGTTTTCCGCAACATGCCGTTGACGCAAGAATTGTGCTTTAGCAGTGGGTTTATAACGGACCATCTGCACGCCATTCTGCTTGACTGGCCATTCAGCTATGTTTCCTCCTTTCACGTTTGAGAGGGACACTTTTGCACAGCAGTGAAATGCTGGCAGGACGGTTGGAGGATGGATGGCGGCTAACAGATTGAGGTTGAATCCTGACAAGACAGAAGTACTGTTTTTGGGGGGTGGGTAGGGTGGGGGTGGAGGACTCCCTGGACCTGAATGGGGTAACTGTGCCCCTGAAGGACCAGGTGTGCAGCCTGGGAGTCATTTTGGACTCACAGCTGTCCATGCAGGCGCAGGTCAATTCTGTGTCCAGGGCAGCTGTTTATCAGCTCCATCTGGTATGCAGGCTGAGACCCTACCTGCCCGCGGACTGTCTCCCCAGAGTGTTGCATGCTCTAGTTATCTCTCGCTTGGACTACTGCAATGCGCTCTACATGGGGCTACCTTTGAAGGTGACCTGGAAACTACAACTAATCCAGAATGCGGCAGCTAGACTGGTGACTGGGAGCGGCTGCCGAGACCATATAACACCGGTCTTGAAAGACCTACACTGGCTCCCAGTCCGTTTCCAAGCACAATTCAAAGTGTTGGTGCTGACCTTTAAAGCCTTAAACGGCCTCGGTCCAGTATACCTAAAGGAGCATCTCCACCTCCATCGTTCTGCCCGGACACTGAGGTCCAGCGCTGAGGGCCTTCTGGCAGTGCCCTCGCTGCGAGAGGCCAAGTTACAGGGAAGCAGGCAGAGGGCCTTCTCGGTAGTGGCACCCACCCTGTGGAACGCCCTCCACCAGATGTCAAAGAGGAAAATAACTACCAAACTTTTAGAAGACATCTGAAGGCAGCCCTGTTTAGGGAAGCTTTTAATGTTTAATAGGTTATTGTAGTTTAGTGTTCTGTTGGAAGCCGCCCAGAGTGGCTGGGGAAAGCCAGCCAGATGGGCAGGGTATAAATAATAAATTATTATTAGTAGTATTATAACTCCCCGGATGCCATCATGAGAACAAATCATAATACAGAAAAAAATGTGATTTTGCTGGTTTCTGGTGCTGAAACTCTTACATAATCCTTGGAATCCGAATTTCAGTTGGCCTCATTCCATTTTCAGTTCATGTTCCCCCCAAAGCACACTTCCACCCCAAACATTGGGCCCTGCTTCCAATCCCAGGCCAGCATGCTGCTGAAGTATTGTCTCACTGGATCAGAGCAAAGGTCCACCTGGTCTAGCATTCTGCTCCCAACCAAGGCCAACCAGATGTCTCTGGGAGCTTCACCAACAGGGAGTGTCTTTCCCTCGAGTTTGTCCCACCTGTATATCAAGGTAGACTATCTAGTCACATGGAAGTTCTGTTTAACTAGGATGACAGTCAGCCTGATCAGCCTCTCCTCCACCGCGAACCTGAGTAATCCTTTTTAAAAAGGAGAAGTTTAATCCTCTTTAAATCCTCCACGTCACCCCTTTCCCCTCCCAGTTACTACTATACGATTAGCTAAACCCTTTACAATCTCCATTCTGTTTTGCCCTCATTAACAACACAATCATTTCCAAGAGCGGTGATGACATGTGATTGCAGTATGTGCGTGTGCTAAATTATTAATGATTTCCCCCCCTAAAATAAAAATCCTAAAAAAACCACAACCCTATATTCCTCATCAGCAACAAATGATATTTCTACATGGGGGGGGGGGGGAGTTAGTTGCATCCAGTAATCCCATGGCAAATTCAGAAGCACAGGGTCCTTTCATGACCCACACACTCTCAAAAATTATTGTATGATCTTAGAAGGTTGTATAATCTTATAATTATACAATAATCTTAGACTTAAACAACAACTAGGGATGCAATGCAACAATCAGTTCAGATCTCCAATGTGTTGCCTTTCAGCTAGATTTCTATGCACCTACGTGGGCAAATGAATTCGAGTGCTCCAACATCTTATTTTAAAGTGACTTAAATTTTGTTTTCCATGATGTTCCATTGCACCATTCTCTTTTCAGCACTTGGGTGTTCCTAAATGTGTGTTCCCCCTGCCCCCACTTCCCCCCAACTTGCAGAAAATATGGAGGGTGAGCCCCCAAATATTTTATCGGGGGGACAAAGAGACCAGGGCCCCATACAGTTGGCGCCTATGCTCTGGAACATACAAGCACCTTCTCCAGACTGACCCCAGGAGCCAATCCTCAATGTCTGACGCACGTCCTTTCACTCTGATTGGTTCCAATCAGCATCAAGGATGAGAAGAATCATTCTCAGTGGCTAAAAAACAACCCTCCCCTTTCAGGATATTGGCAGCAGGGACCCTGTGGCAGAAGTAGTAATGGCTTTGACCTCTCATGACCCTACCACCACAGCACCGGTTGCAGCTTGCAGCATAACTGGGATTTGAATCTATGCATTCTGGATTTGCACATACCCCGGCAAAATGATTTGTACCCCAACCAACAGCAGCTTCCATTCCCACATGTGCTTTTCTTCAGTTCTTTGTGCTTTCCTTTACAGCCTCCCATGCAGATGGGGGCAGTTCCAGACCAGTAAGTGTCCACATTTTCTGGAAAAAGAAGATTTTTTTAAAAAAAACAGCAACAACCCTGTTATGTAGTGTAGTTTCACCCTGGGCCAACAGGGGGATACTGTATATAGTTTTCACTCAGGTCTGTAGATAGTTTTCACTCAGGTCCGTGGCAGTACCCAAAGTGTAATAATTTGTTCTATCCTAAAAATAAATTATAGTACAGTGGTACCTCAGGTTAAGTACTTAATTCATTCCAGAGGTCCGTACTTAACCTGAAACTGTTCTAAACCTGAAGCACCACTTTAGCTAATGGGGCCTCCTGCTGCTGCCGCGCTGCCGGAGCACGATTTCTGTTCTCATTCTGAAGCAAACTTCTTAACCTGAAGCACTATTTCTGGGTTAGCAGAGTCTGTAACCTGAAGCGTATGTAACATGAAGCGTATGTAACCCGAGGTACCACTGTACAGTGGACACTTGGGTTGCAAACGTGAGCCGTGTGGGATGCACGTTTGCAAACCGCAGTGAGTGTCTGCGCATGCGCGAGTTGTGATTCGGTGCTTATGCACACGCACAAAGTACAATTTAGCGCATCTGCGACCACTGAAACCCAGAAGTAACCTGTTCTTCCATGTTTTGGCGGTCCGTAACCTGAAAAAACGCAACCTGAAGTGTCTGTAACCCGAGGTATGACTGTGATTGTTATATCCATTCATGAAATGCAGAGCTCTAAGCTGTAGCCCCAACCATGTCTATTCAGAAGGAAATCCTACTGAATGCAATGGAGCTGACTCCTAGGTAAGTGAGGTTAGGATCGTGGCCTCTTTCTGTCAGCCAGATTGGTATAACTGAATGAAAATGTTACAATATTTGGTAAACCCCAGCATTTAAGTGACAGAAATAAAACTAGGTAGTGTACATACTTATTAAGTGTCAGTGTCTGAAGAAGTGTGCATGCACACAAAAGCTCATACCAATAACAAACTTAGAGACCTTAGGTCTCTAAGGTGCTACTGGAAGGAATTTTTTTATTTAGTGTCATAACATTTCATTTATTTATCTGTTTAAATGGGAGTTTGCTACTTTCCTACTTCAGAGTCTGCAAAGTGTCTCACAACAATGCTGGCAGAGGCTGATGGGAACTGTAGTCCAAAACATCTGGAGGACACTAGATTTAAGAAGGCTGCCTTGAAGTTTGGCCAAGAGGTCTTTAAAAAGAAAGAAAAAATCTCTCAAGATTTACACTTGACAACAGAAAAATTTAAAGTTTAAAAATTTTCAGATTTCAAACTTGTGAACTATTTAATCTTAGTTTAAGTTCCTGGAATTACACAGCACAATAAACAACAATGGCTTTTAGCATCAAAACATGCAGAGCATACAAGTTATTACCTTGATAATCCTTTTTTATAGGACAAGCCTATCCATGTCCCAGAGTTCAATGAGGCTTGCTCCCAAGTAATCAGATAAGACTGCAAACTTAGCCACCCTATAAAAGCGTCAGTATTTTGTCTTCTTTTTAAAAATTTGCTATATAGTAGGATTTTGTGTGTGTAAACTTTTATCATCATCTTTCCCTTGAACTACAATTAAAAGGTCAGTATTCTTCCCCCCATTTTACAGATGTGTAACTGAGGCTCAGATAGATTGTAGTTTGTCTAAGGGCAGCCAACTAGTTTCTGGCAGAGTAAAATATAAACCAGGGGCTACCTGGATCATTTAACTATGTACCATGAGTTGGAAACTTTATTTGTGCAACTGACTTGTAAGACTCACCACTCCTTCTGCAGCCGCTGACCCAGAAATAAGTGCCTCTTAACCCCAAGAGCTACTTTAGCATGGATGAAGCTTCCAATACCAAGAAGGAGGACGCTCAGCCCTTACCTTGTACCTTGGTTCCCTGTGACTTACCTTCCAACTCCTCGCCCGAGAGGAACTTGCAGAAGGAAAGGAGGAAGAAGAGAATCATCAGCGCCATGGTGGTATAGCAGGGCTGGCACCCCACCAGGGGACAGCTTTTCAGTGGCTTCAAAGGGAGAGGTGGAATTTGGGGAATAAGTTTTTTCACCTGCCCTCATGGGCATGGCAAAGTTGAACTGATCGCCAGAGGGCCTTGCAGCAGCCCAGATCCATTCAAACTGCAGAGAAAATCGCCTTCGCTTCTTTTTTTCCAAGATACTGTGCAGCACAGGGGGAGGTTGGGAAGCTTCCATTAATCCCTCCACAAACCCTCCCCGCCTCTCCATGCCACAGATAATCCCACAGCAGCAAGAGCGATTATTTTTTCCTCTCTCTTCCAAAAACCTTATACCACAAGCCCTGGAATCTCACACAGGAGCACCAAACATAGATGCTTTCCTAAACCAGCCATTTTCAAGTAGTTAGTGTGGGGAAGTGGGAAAGGTTTGGGGACCACAGAGAATGGTGAGACACACTGGATAGAATTTGGGGGATGGAGACCTAGCACTGGGTGGCTTTTGAGCAAATCATGTCCTATCAGCTGCCTTACACCTACCTTACAGGGCTGTTGCATGTGAAAATGTCACAAGACACTACAGAGAGAGAGCATTTCAAAGAAAGCAACCTGGGATAACCTCTGGAACAGAAGGCAGCTTCTTTGCAAGACAAGCTCCGTAAAGGGATGGGTAAGGAGATTACAGGAGGGTCTCCTAAGGATATTGGCTGTGTGTCTCTCTCTCTCTGTGTAATGGACTGTTTTTAAAAGGGGGAACCCGGGAAAGCATGTACCATAAATTCTGTGCCAGGTAGCTGTCCCAGTCTGCCATTTCCAGGTGACAATCTTAAGGCGAAGGGAGGGAGAGAGAGTCAACTTTCCAAATGCGAGTTATATTGTAGGAACCTTGGTACAGAGTTTCCTGGGACAAAACCTAGAATGCCAAACCCTGGATTAAGAGCCTGTACTGGGAATGTGCAGCAAATAGAACCAGCTGTTCAAGATATATCCCAGATTAAGGCTGAGGGAGAATAGCAAGCAGATGCAAAATACATTTTACAAATTACCAGCCCTTTCTTTACCAGGCTTCAGGTACCCATCATGAGGCTAAAGCAGAGGGACATTTTTAGTCCAGTGAACCACTTCCCCCCTTGGGAAACCTCCCAGAGGCATCAGTGGGTGGGGTCAGCACCAATGATGGGTGTGGCCCAAGGCAAAAGCAACAGATATGACTCTTGCCTTTGCGCAGCCAGCTGTGTTTCAACCACACAAGTGTCAGATTCGTGTGCACACATCTGTCATCCTCCACCCAGGCAAGCAATAGGTTTCATCACAGGTCAAGGACATATTCCAGTCAGGCAAAAGGACAGAGGGCCAGGTCTGTGGCAGGCATGGCCTGAGCAGAGTCCCTAGGCCTGGAGCACCGTACTTGCACCAAATCAGAGGTTCCCCACCCCTGCCTAGAGGATCTCTGGAGTCATCATATAGGTATCTCGGGGGTAGTGGAAAATCACCTGCCAGCACTTTGGGACCCCTTTTACAAGGCAGGAGCCTGACTCTCCCCCCTCAACAAAGAAATAATCCAGGCCACAAAGTATAGATACAATGGGCAGCAACAGGGTTGTCAGGAGTGGGTAGATCTTTGAGGCTGGCAGCTGCTTGGTCTTGCAGGAAGGGAGAGATGAGCAGGAATTTGTCTTTGAACTCATGCTGAGTCAGAGGAGCGAGGACAAGTCTTGCTGCTGCTAGTCCAATGCCAGAGGCAAGTTGCCATTTGTCACACAATCACTCTGTGTGGAGGAGTCTGGTAGCTACAACAAAAATGGCTGGCTACTGAACCCAGCCAAAATTTGTGGACCCCTGACCAGGTGACACCATGGCAGGTGTTGGCAGAGAAAATGAATCCAGATGAGGCAGGAAGTGAACCCAGTTGCATGCAGCAGAGGAAGGCAACCTCCCCATACCCCACTTTTAGAGAAGCCATCCCTACTGGAGCAGAAACTTCTTCCTGGCTGCAATACAGCCACTTGTTTTAAACTGTTTTTAATGTTATATTTTAAATTGATGTGGCCTGCCCCTGGGACCTTATGGTGAAGAGTAGGAAAAAATATATATTAATGGGCGGTATTCAACAAACTTGTTACGCCAGCACAAGGATTTATATTTGCACAGTGAAACCTTCCTCCCCCTGTACAGTCCTGTACAGATTTGTTCTGGGTTTTTCCCCAACCCTCCAGAGCAGATGTTGGGAGGGCACTGGAAGACGAGAGCAGGGGGAAGTTCCATTACATGAGCTTGAATGCTTGCATTAACAGAATGATCATATAGCACTACATTTGATACCACGTAATAATGAATCATGACGCCAAGCATGACCACAAAGCCCATCTCCAAGTCTTCATGCAGCTCCACGCCATTCATCAGTTGTGGCAGCCACCCCACCCTGGCCACTGACTCAAGGATTTGGGCTCTTGAACTGCCACCTGTCTCAAATCTGATCCAATCACGTGCACCTCCAGGACAGATTACAGCAAACATCGTATCTACCACAAGACCTGGTAGTGTTGTTGTTCTTTAATTATTATTTTTTTGTAACACAAACCTTGCAAGCCAGGAGCAGGAACCCCAATGTGGGGGAAGGACCTCAGGGCAAGAATTAGCACCCTGTTTTGTTCTGCTCTGCCTCTCTGTGCTGTGGAAGCCACTGCAACACACTGCTTCCTGCACTGCTCAGGTAACATGAAAGCCTGCAGCTTTCTACGTTACCCAAGTGGCTCCCATGCTACAAAGATAATGCAAGCGGAGGTCAAGCCAATGACAAAAAAGGCAGTAAGCAACTAACTGTGGAGTAGCAACTGGGAATAACAGGTTCTCACAATCTCATACTCCAGAGCAAACAGATAACAGTGCTGGAACTCTCTTGGAACAGTCAAACGCAGAACAGTCTGGAAGGGACGGAGACTGCATCAGGTATTACTGTCTGTGCTGGGCAAAGGGGATAGCAGAAAGCATCTCAAAAGGCAGGGGTACCAACAGTTGAGAGGCAAGAGGCATACGAAAGAACTAGAGTCCGAATGTGGGGCTCACAG